ATCGATTCTTTTCTCTCGATTTCCTATTTTTTCAGCTCATCATTGTCGCTCTTGTAAGTTATTCTAATAGTAAGATGCAATTTTATGCTACATTTTGCATGCATATCAATTCCTGTGCAATTTCTTGTCTAGCTGAAAACATCCCGAAGCACTGTAATCCACTATATTTATGGCGTTTCTGCCAACCTGTACAGGTAATGCTCTGAACGATTCATGTCTCTGAATGTACTGATAGGTGGCACCATCTTTGTTCAGTGTGAAGTCATGTTTGTCCGAGAACAACATCAGTTTGCCGATTTCAGTGACCATTATTGGTAAGTCGTACAGGAATCTATCCCAGTGCACATATTGGCTCATCATATCGATCATCTGTAGCGCCAACGTGTTCTGTGCTTCTAACTTTTGTAGTTGGCGGCTTTTTTCTATGTTCGACTGAAAATGATTGGAATGAGAAATTCTTTTTGATGGCGATTCGCTGTTGTTTGTTAGGAATGCATCATGTGATTGTTCAGAGACTGAGTGCTGTTGATCTCAGGATTTCTTTGTTATCAATGACATTTTCAGTTGTTCACTTCCTTATTTTTGATAATGTAACGTTGACTGGAAAAGAATGTCATGTGAAGGAAGCAGATTCAAGCGATGAATTCTGCAAAATTTGTTCCTACTTTCACCTTCTGGGAAGTATTTCCTGGAGTATCGCTGGCTTAAAAACTGTGGATTCTTATGCAAGAACGTTCAAGAGAAGGTATCAAATTCTTATAATTCACAGTGTCTCATCGCTATGCTCCATTCCAGTCGTTTTTTTTTTCAACGAACGTACAAAGCGTCTGAGTTATCAGTATTGAAAGCGAACATCTGCTTCGTTCAGATGTAACGAAATTTACCATATTGGCGAACTGTTCTTTGATATCGTTGGAGCAAAGCGCAATATTTTCTAAATCGTCCCCAACCAATTGTATTTCGCCTCCATCTCCGAACCCGCACGCAACAAGCGTGCATGCCGCGACTGTAATTTACAGTATCGCGTTCATCTGTAACAAATAAGCATGTTGAAGGCGATTTTGTCAATTGAAGGAGCCACTCGAAACAGTATGGATTAGGTGACTATGCTATGATTGGTTTAACTTTTCTAAACATTGTAGAAATATGGCTGAGGAACTCATTCGTTTCTATTCCGAACCGATCTGAAATTCTTGTATGATCGCGTGTTGAAAGCATGTGGACGGTGGGATAATATGGAGAAACGAGTTCCAACAAATGAATTTTACTGCAATGAATGAATAGGAGGCCCGTTCAATCTCGGAAGATCGGCGCAAGGGATGCAGTTATCAGCCCGTGATCCCTTTGAACATTTTTAGCTAAAAGATGGCCTTCCAAGTTGAGACTGTTTTATATCTCCAAGAGGTACGCGGCGGTAATCATACAGACCAATTTCTTCGGTGCAGTTCATCATTGCAATGAACTTAATTTCGTAGCCATTTGAAGTGGGAGGGTATGAAACAGGGCCATGTTGCTTCGAAGTACGAGGACGATTGTGAAGAACTGCACTGGAATGTTTAGTTGAGCATTCAACCCAAACGCCGGTTTATATAAGCGTAATGGTGCTCATAATCATACATTGATCCATGCTTTATGACTAATGTTCGAGATGATCGCTTTGGTGTTGACAGTTACTAAATGGAAATGACAGGTATTAAATGGCAATGAAATTAAATGGAACACACGTTTGAGCAAGAGAAAATATCGGTTACTGTAGGTTTATTTGCGCCTTATAAAGACATGCATAAAGACACACACTGTAAATAACAAGATGTTTTCAGCAGAGAAAACATCTTGTCATTTACAGTGTGTAAGGTATACAAAGGAATTTTGGTGGAGGTCTGGTGAATGAACGTTCAACAGCTGAGGACAATATCTCAATCTGAAGATTATCACTTCTCTCAAAAGATGCTAGTTCAATGCTCAACGTAAAAGCAGGCTATGATGGAACTTGCATTTGTGGACGACAAAACTTTCATTATCATTTCGAGCAGTTTCGAAAGTATTACGGTGTAATTGACAGAATGTAATAAAAGTAAACAATAAATGTGGAGCCATGATAAGCTATTGTCAACATGTGATGTTTTATTACGGTGTTGACTCATATTTATCACAGTACACGATGGTTGAGGCGCAATGATGTGCTGATTGTCATGATGTCTTGCCAAGGTCATAGCCTGACATTATCATTCAATAGCTCATTATGTCAGATTGTTACATTGTGCAGTCGATGCTTCGCAAATAGCTCCATCATCCGCGATTGCTGCTGCTACGTTGACTAATGTTCGAGATGATCGCTTTGGTGTTGACAGTTGTTAAATGGAAATAAACATACGTTTAAGCATGAGAAAATGTCGGTTACAGCTTACTGTCATGATGTATATATAAAGCCCAGAGACTGCCGGAAACAGTCATTCGTTCAACAAAACAAATCGTTCCACTGTTCAGCCTCTGCTTTCCGAATACTTTCATTATCACTGTTTGCGATCAGGTTGAATAAATTTTGGAATTATCGCTATGATATATAAAGAAGTTCGCGTTTTTAGGGTTGTTTGGATGTGCATTTATTAGAAGAATAATTTCATAGTTGTCTGAAGTAATGAAGCGATCGTTAGCGATTCTCCTGCTCATCGTTTGCCAATATGCAACTGCCCGGTCTCTGCTCCCTCTGCTAGTGATACGGCCGTATATCAGAACTGTGGTAAATAAGTTGTTTTGGAATTAGGTGGTTTTTAGGAAAATACAGGATCGCATTCATAAGGAGACACTTCAAATTCATCCTAGAAAGACAAGTGTTATGGCTGTGAGTTGGTTATCGGTTGAGGAGAAAAAACCGTATGTAATATGTATCTGATAGATGAAATGGAATTATCTTCTAAAATGCCAAAAAAATGTTTCAAAATAGTCCGTTGGTAAATTTGAAGTGATTTTCGACCCCACGAAAACATCTTCCGGATTTTTGTTTTTGATATTGAAATTATTCGGCAAAAACAATCGTTCATACCGTTTGTATCTTTTCAAAACTAAACTTGAATCGTTTGCAGCGTGATGTTCAGTTTTTATATGACGAATTCGAGGAAACCCGTGAACGCATCGTTAAAATTGTTGGTAATGTGACGAAGTATTCCGGGAAAGTGCAGAACGGGGCAAGTTCATTGTTATAGAATCAGTTCTGTTACATGAATACGTATGTGGTTGATAGATTGCGATTGTAGCTGTTAGACTGGTAGACGAAATATACGTTGAACACAATGAAAGCAAGGAATTATATGTATGTAATTCAACGCCCTATGTGCATATGCAAGCATGGGCATCTTTCGATAGAATCAAAAAAGCTTGTGCCCAAATAGTTTGCGAGTTCCTTTTGTTGTGAAGAAGCAAGGGAATCCTGTAAAAACATTTCGATCGAAAATGTCTTCGATAGATATGTCACCCCTATCAACTGCAACTGCTCACTTGATATGTAAATTCATCGTTATCATCGGGTCAAGAAAAGAAAGTTATCACGTTTGATCTATGGAATTACATGTATGACAGAATAATGAAAATGATAAGATGTGTGTTGCTGTTGCAGATTTCGAAATTAGACGTTGAAAAATATGAACTCAGCAATGAAACTTCGGAAGTTATCGTAAAACACAAGCTGTTGGCTGCTAAACGCCGTTCATTGAAGGAACTAGTTGGATCGGCGCAGCAATGGGTGAATCAAGAAATCGCACGAGCCGATGACCTAGTAGTTGAGGTTTGCTCAGAAAAGCTGCACTAAATAGCAACATCCCGTCCAACCGAATTTATAGGAGAGTACGAAATTTTAGACCTCGACGAGAAAATCGAGGCACGTTGATGATTCA